TTTATTGATGTAAAGGATTCATAGTGTTTTTTAATCATCTTTTTAATCTCTGCTGTAGCTCCAGTTATTACTCCTTTCATTTCTAATCATTTGTATCTTTTTCTTAAGTAATTATACCAAAAGATTATCTATTTTAAGAGTTATTTCAAAAAAACAACATTTGACCTCTATTATATTTTTGTTTTTTATATTATTACTTATCAATGTTTATTACTTCTCTCTTCAATTTTGGGTTATTTTCCTTCTAACTTCTTTCCCTTTTGCTTGTTTCTTAATTTCCCATCTTATTTCTTTTCTAATATAATCATTTAAAGCTATAAATATCTCTCAAAATATTATTTTAGTTATATCTCATAAGCTATATAGTATTTTCATTATTATAGCATTTTAAGTATTTTTAAATTTATATTTTTATTTATAATTTGTCTGATGAGTTATTTTGAAGTGTGCTTTTTAATTTTAAAATGTAAGAATCTTATTTGTTTTTTATTTCTAATTTAATTATATTGAAGTCAAAAACATAGTTCCTATCTTCTACTAAATTGAGTTTAAACAGGGCTATCTTTATGTCAGAGTGCTCAATCTGATGCCATTCAACTATCCTACCCTTTATACCTCCATTCCCCAAAATACACATCTTATCCAAGTCAAGACAAGCTTATCACAATCTTTAAACATCTTTAAGCTCATTTTTACCTCCATGTCTCTATTTATTTTTTTATTGAACTGTGCTCTTCTTTTCATCACTGAATATGCTTTTTGTTTTATGATCATTAAACTAGCCCACTACTTCCCTAGCTGCCTTTCTTCCTTTGATGCATTATTTTTAAATCCTTAGATTATTTATTTTGCAGCTTCCTTAATGTTCTAAAAGTTTTACATGTTTTAAAATTTCAAACTTATACTAAGATTCAGCAATGGGTTTGTATAAATATTATCTTCCTTTATGTGCTTTTTTTCACCTTTTCTGGCGTTTGTGCCATAAGCATATATTGTACTTATATTCAATGGAAAGAATGCAGCATTTTTTAAAATTTCCATTTGAATTAATACATTTCTCCCAGTGCTTTTTAGTCTGTTTTCTTCATTTTTTTTTCCTTTCAGACTATCTCATCCCCTCACTATATGATAATATTTTTGAGACCTAACTACATAACATATAAACTATAAGTCCTTTGCACACATTCTTATTAATCCTCAGAACAATTCTGTCTGAGAAGCATTATAATTAGTCTATTGCAGTTAGGAAGCTGAAGCTGAAACAGTAAGTGACTTTTTCAAAGTCACACAGCTAAAATACAGTAAAGACAGTTTGAGCCTGGGTCCATCTGACAGTGGAGCCAGAGTGCTTAATTAACTACTATACCATTCTGGTTTCAAGAGTTTCTAGAGTCTAGATGTGTTGCGATGGTTGCCAAGTAAATAAGCAAAGAGCTGATTTTGGAATCAATGTAATACTCCTCTAAAATATTCTTAGGATTAGATTCAGCAATTCAACTTTTATACTATAATAGTCAAGAGAAAATTTCTTTTGGTAATGTAGATAGGTAATCAGAGAAATAAATATTACCATATGTTATTTTTGATTAATGTTTTAGTAAAAACCTTTCTTTTAAAGTCTAGTGTGTATCGAAAACTTTTTCCACCTAAAGATTAACTGAGGAAAAAGTTTATAATATACTGGAGAATTTGTGAACGAAGGAATTTCACTGCATAATTCAGGGCAAATAATATCTTAGATATCTCTCCTTATTTCTCTTTTCTTCCTTCTAATTCTATTCACCAACTCACCCATAGGTCAGAGATTGAATCTTCAGAAATCTTCCATGCCTGAAGGTGGGCAATCCTTCTTTTTCCGCTCTCCCAAATTTAGAAAGTACTGAAAGAAAAATTTTCTCTCATCATCATCACCATAAATAATATAATAGCTACCATTTATTAAATATCTACCATATGACATGTATTATGTTAAGCAATGTTTATATTTTTTCCAGTTTCACAACAACCTTCCATATAGATGAGAACCAATGTGGCTTTGCTTTTGGTGCATTATATTATAAAATTTATTAGGCACTAAAATCCATTATAATAAAAAAGGACCTGAAATAAAAATAAAAAAGAATAAGTTTTTTAATTCTATTACTCTAGAATCTTGTAACTAAACATTTGTCTATTTTTATATTATAAGCATTATAAAAACATAACTACCCAATAGTTGCCCAGAAGATAATCACATAGGGAATTTTAAAAACTAAACTTACCCCTGTTTAATTTCACTTTCTAAAACTTTTTTTTTGCTTAGGCTAATAATTGCCTATTAAACAGTATAATGATTTCATTCATACATCATGACTCAATCAATTCAATTCAACAGAAATTCATTGACTATAATATATGAGGCACTGCTAAGCTCTAAGGAAGGATAAAAAGATGAGTAAGATTCTGAAAGAGACACAGTAGCAACTGTGAGATAAAGCAAGGAAAGTACGATCAATACTGTAATAAATGTATCAAGTGCTGTGTAATCACTTAAGGGAGCAATTGGTTCTAATCAGGTACATGTATAAAGGAAAAGTTGAAAATAAAACTAATATTGAATACCTACATTGAAAATATCCTAGGTTTTTATCTACAGACATAATTTTATTCAATCCATAGCAAATTGACAGATATTATGATATTTCGTTTTAAAAATACCCTAAACTTTTTTCTTTCAATATCTGTGATAGATGATGCCTAATATTCAAGTAAAAAGAGAAATCTTTTCCCAAAATAAATAAAATAAAAATTTTGTAGTCTACAGCCATGCTACCCTGAATAAGCCTGATCCCGTCTGATCTTGGAAGCTAAACGGGATCGGGCCTGGTTAGGACTTGGATGGGAGGCCACCTAGGAAGACCAGGTGCTGTAGGGGTAAAAATTTTTAAAATAAGGGATTGTAAACTGACAGGGTCCTTGCAATCTGTGAGGTCAACCAATGGTTACCTCGCCTAAAAAAAAAAAAAAAAAAAAAATTGTAGGCTCATGAAAGGCAAGATTAATACGACCTAAACAGAATGATGCAAAGCCAAGGCACCAGTGTATCTGGCCCAGTTGCTGACTACTGCCCCCAGCATGAGCTTTTCCTCTCATGTATCTTAGTGTAGCATGCCTGAGGTTTGCAGCTTCTCTTGCAGGCATCAGGACTAAAGAATCATCTTGAGGAATCACTTAGCAATACAGCAGCCTCTAGAGCTCTGCACACCCTATTTCCTCTGCTGCAAAAGCTTTCTTCCCCATTTTGTCTCTATTGTTATCTGGTGACTACCACTTTCAGGTCTAACCTTGGATAGCACCTCTGGGACATCTTCTCTGAGTCTCCCCCAACAGATAGATACACACTATAGCCAGAATTAAGGATCTATCTTCAGTCCTCTAATTGCATTCTATAATAACCCTATTGTAGTGCCTTTGAAACTACTTACTTGTCTTTTTCTCCACAAGTCTGTAATCACTTTGCAGGCGGGATTTGTTTTTTGTTCAGCCCTTTGCACAGTAATGTGATATCATAGGTGCTCATTGCGAATTGAAATGTGTCCCTCCAAAAAAAGGTATGTTGAAGTCCTAACTCCCAGTATCTTGAAATATGACCTTATTTGGAAATAGTCTTTGTAGATGAAGTTAGTTAAAAACTTAATACTGGAGTGAGGAAAACCCCTAATCCAATATGACTGATGTCCTTATAAGATAGCCATGTGAAGACAGAAACACATGGAGAAAGCAATGTGACAATAAAGACAAAGTTTGGAGTTATACAGCTGCAAGCCAAGGAATGCCACCGATTGCAGGCAAAAACCAGAAAGTAGAAAGAGGCAAGGAAGGATTCCTCTACAGTTTTCACAGGGAGCATGGCCCTGCCAACATCTTCATTTTGGACTTCTATCCTCCAGAACTGTGAGATAATGAATATCTGTTGTTTTAAGCCACCCAGTTATGACATTTTGTTACAGCAGCCCTGGGAAAATAGTACTGTGCTCAATAAATTGGAATGGACGAAGGGATGACTTAGAATTTTACCTGGCTATAACAAATCTATATCTATTCTTGGTTATTCCTTGCTTCTAGCCTTGATCTAAACAAAACTTCTTTCATTTTATTTGGCCATTTGAAGCCACAAGTTTTATTTATCAGATCCTCAGGTTTTTCTTTTGTTTTCAAATACTCTGAATGTAATTTTCTACCTGGTTATCTCCGAAACATGAACAAAACTGGATTCTATGAAAAAAATTGTACTGACATCTGCCTCTTTTTATATAGTCTGTATCTTTATAAGTCGTTGTGTCTGCACTAAATTAGTTTTTACATTTAGGAAAACTTACCTAAGAATGTACATGTCTTGATATCTAAAATACAGGAAAGATGAGAGAATAAGGCTTTGTTCCACATGCAAGCTACTAAGAAGCGCCCTGTTGTTGTGGACTTAGGTGGTGGTATGCTGTTTGAGCTTGCTGATTTTGCATCTTAACTACTATTTAATTTAGTGTGGTGGTCAATCGCTTGGGCTTTGTTGTCAAATACGGCTGGTATCAAGTCCCATTCTGCCACCTAATAGCTTAAGTAAGCTATTTAACCTTAAGTAAGCTATTATACAGATTCCTCATCTGTAAAACAGGATAATAGTAGTCTCAAACTTCTGAGTTATTATAAGAAAACAATGACATAATGTATATAAAGTCCTGAGCATAGTCCATGTAGTAAGGCCTTAATAAAAGTTAGTTGTTATCAGGTAAGCAAGAAAACCACCTTCTGTTTAGCGTCAAAATCAAATTATTCTGTAGAGCAGCATCTTCTGGAATAAAAACTGGATTGTTACAAATGCAAAGTATAAATCTATGCTGGAAAAAATATTTTTAAATTTTACCAAAAAATACAAGAAGGAAAATGAGAAGAATTCTACTCTCAATGGACCCAAAGCTTTATTAATGAGTCAAAAGACTTATCCATATTTTTTTTCCTCTTAGGCTAAAAGGAGAGATGAGATTCTCCAACTCTTAAGAAAACAAAGAGAAGAAAGGATCTCGGTGAGACTGCTAGTGAAGCATTCGGATAAGTTTATGTTGGAAAGGGGCGAACTATGGCAAATTCTTAGACATTTTATAGATTGACCTCTTGAATCTAGATACCCGTGGTCCGGAGCCTTCTATATACTAGAGGAGAGCAGGGTATAAACATCAGATAATTTGGCGATCCTCGATAAACAAAAGATATCTCCAGAGTACGTAGCCCTGCTGGCGCAGAAATGAGATGTTATTGTCAGTGGGCTTATTGTCACATAAAGCTGTAGTATATTAACATGAGCTATTATTTGTTTTACAATGATTGATCTTACGTAGATCATACAAAAATGAATGCTAAATGAGGAGAAACAAACAATAAAAACAATAATAGCACCCGTGAACTCATAAATGTACAAACACACACCCTCCTGAATGAACCCCAGATTCCCTAATCTGGAACATTTCTGACCCCACAGTCTCCAGATTTAAGTAGTCTGTATAAACTCTATGATAATTTTACCTCAGGTTGTTTTCCAAGTAAGTAAGTTTCAGTCAGCACAAGAAGTAAAACATTTTCTTTTTGATTTTTGTTTTTGTTTTTGTTTCGTTTTAGAAAGAATTGGTTTCCCTTCCTTATAAACCAAAGACCAAAGTACACAAAGCAAAGTAAGTTTACGTCTGTCAAATATTCTCACCTTTCTAGTTACGCCATAAGGAAGCACTTTCTTCTACTCACTTTGCCCCTACCTTCAAATCTTCTAAAAACTCACCCACTGTTTTAGAAATTATTTACCTTGAATAAATTTTCTTCTCCTCATCTACATTAAAACCTGTGTGTCCACTTCCATATTGTGCAACAGGCAAGCATAAGTTGGTGTAAACAGGAAAGAAAGTAAATCAACCTTGAATCTCTGTACGCATTATCTTTCCCTCCTTTCACATCCTGGGTTATTGTACTCACCTGCCATCACACTCTCTCAGCTCTCTTCTCCCTACCCACACTTGGCTCCACCATCCTTAGCAAACCAACAGGTCTTCTAATAAGTGGTCTCCAAGCTTTCCGGCACAAGGGACCAGTGCTCCTATGAGTATCTAAAGGCCGATGACCTGAGGTGGAGCTGAGGTGGTGATGCTAGCACTGGGGAGCAGCTGCAAATACAAATGAAGCTTTGCTTGCTTTCCTGCTGCTCACCTCCTGCTGTGTGGCCCGGGTTCCTAACAGTCCATGGACAGGTACCTGTCTGAGGCTCTCAAGTTAGGGACCCCTGTTCTAGATTATCAACTCTGATATCACCAATGGCAAACCTAAGGGTTGCTAAATCTTAATTCATGTAGCAAGGGCTTTAGCCTCAAAGGGCGGGTTAATAGCCTTATCCTTGGAATAATGTTAGAGTAGGTCCAGGCACATGGTCCAAAAGAGTTTAAAAGAAACCAGCTACCACCAGTTAATCATTAAAGAACTCCTAATAAAAATCTCTCCATTTTCGTATTAACACTGAAAACTAGTGTGGCTAACTCAACATTAATTTTATAAGTATTTATTTGCATACTACTTAAAGGAAAAAATCGTTAGAAAGTAATAGAATTTTTATTCTTATCTCATTGGTATTGAGGCTGACTCTCTTTATCAAATGTTTTTTAAAAATGAATGTCTACACTAATTTTAATAACTTCTGAAAAAGTAAAAATATCATTTAATCATCTAGCTATATTGTCTACACAATGCTCAGCAACTTAATTTCTTGCTTTTTAGCCAGATGATTAGACTTAGCCTCTAAGAGTGGAAGTAAAACTAGTCCAGTCAAAAGGTTCACTTATCTGATTCAACAATGGATGAAGACTGCTGTTTGAATAGCATCAACAAATATGTCTGGTACTTTAGCTTTCCGAGTATATTTTTTTAGGAATGATCAGAACATTTCTGCTACTATGCATGTGGATCCACTTAAGAGTAAAATATTACTTCAAAGCTTGAACAGATAATTCCTTTAATAATTTAAATGCTTACTTAATTCCTTTTGTATGTCAACTTGCCCATTCTCCCTCCTCTGTTCTGAAGCCTTGAATTTCATTTCATTTCACTGTGACATCTTCTCTTTCTGAGTTTCTTATACAGTTACCATCTGTACCATTGTTTTAACAATTGATCACACACTACTTTATGCCAATATTTTATAATTATTTAAATCTTACTATCTCTTGAGTTGTTATTTAACTTTTCACATACTTTTAACTTGTAAGCTCCAGGAGAAATTGAGTCACCAAAAGTGCCCAGCACACTGCCTACATGTAGGAATTCAGAAAATATTTGTAAAAAAAATTAGTTCAAAAATAGTTCTAATTTAGAAAGTGATTTTTAGTCTATGGCCATGCCACCCTGAATATATCTGATCTCGGAAGCTAAGCAGGGTCAGGCCAGTTAGTACTTAGATGGGAGACCACCTAGGAAGACTGGGTGCTGTAGGCGTTAAAAAAAAAAAAAAAAAAAAGTGGTTTTTATACTATTAATTTTTACACTTTTTTAAATTTTGAAAGGTTTTTAGACACAATTGTAAAATACTTTAATTTGTCCTCTCTTTCCTCCCTCTATCCTTTCCTGTCTGCCCCAAATGCCCCTATATACTTAGATCCATCTTAATCATCCCTTTTCCAACAGACCTTAAAATAATCCAGGTCCCCTTGTGCCAGAAAGAAAGAACTAAAAAGTGTGTACTATAATAAGGTTGTGTTCACAACTACAGAGTTCTATATCTTGAAACTGATTCATATTACTGCCAACAGAAAAGTGATTCCAGAGTCAAATAAAGAAGACCAAGAAGAAGTTAAAGCCTTGAACTAATTTGGTTGACACATGGTAGAGGATGGCTCACTTAGATCTTCACTTTTGAAACAACCTGCTCTTATATCAGGATCTTTGGAACCACTTAGTTAAAATAAACAAAGAAATAAAAGTTAAATATGCAACACTTCTAGAAATTTCACCATTATTGAATACTTACATCTATTTTACCTATTGGATAATGCTGGGTTTGACACCATACAGTAATCACCTCTCTCATACATTATCAAACTCCTATTTATCTTGTTTTTATTTGAAGGGTAGTTCCAGAATTGCTGTATTTGATCTATATTATGAATATCAGATAAATAAGAAATAGAGGCTTTATGTGCCCCAATTTGTAGACCACCAGTAAAAACAATACGGAAACACGGATGAAAGGGCAGTCCTGCAAACTGTAAAGTCAATTTGTTGTTAAAAAAAAAAAATGTCTGTTTTCCAAAATTTGGTTGATTCAGTTTCTGGAACATGTTTGAAGTCAGAAATGAATTGCTTCTAGTTCTGTGAAGCTGGCTTAGCACTATATGTAGGTAATACCTGTCCCAACCTCCCTCACTTTCAAAAGTCATTACCTTCAGTATATTTTGGGAAAGAGAAGGTTAAGTATTTGTCTCTTCTGCACTGTTCAGCTGGCATTCCTACTCAGGGTTGTACGCTCTGCTCCAGTGCTCGCAGCTCTATTTAGGACTGCCATTCACTTTGCTCTTGGCCTCTACCTATAACTCCTGGATTTAACGTACTTAAGATACAGCTCCCATCCACAGTGCCAACAGAGGAGTGGGTGACCCACTGGTCAGGACTTAATCACAGGAATATACCAAACTGCAAGGGAGGCTTGAAAATAGGCTTTAAGTGGGGGACCATCTGCCTAGTTAAAATTCAGGACTCTATCACTAAAAGAAGTGGAGAATGGATATTAGTGGACCACTAGTAGTTTCTGCCACAAAACTATTTGAAGAAAAGATATTTCGAACAAAAGGAAGGTAGTCAGGCCTAGAAAAGGAAAGTTTAGAAAGTTATGAAATGGCAATCTCATCTCAGCAGTATCAAGAATAAAATGTACCCCATCAGAGGGATGTGTTTGTCTGTCAGACAGATAGATCTCTATTGTGAAGATGGACATAGTAGGTTATCAAAGCCTAAACTTTCAAATCATGTAATTAATTTCCTTTGTTCTAATTCCATGCTCACTGAGAAATCTTTTCTTGCTCAGAGGGAGAGTATGTGTTCAAGAGGCCAGCACAAACACTGGTTTACCTGATGATTATATTTCTCAATGTGTGTGTATGTATATCTATATGTGTGTGTGTGTGTGTGTGTGTGTGTG